GGAAAATTCTTGCCTGTTGAGCAGAGTACCTGGGTGGGCTGCAGGGTTGCCTTGAGGCTTAACTCTTTTCTTGACAGGAAGTGTGAAGTAGGGCATTCGTCACATTATTGTGGACAGATTTGTTCTATTAAATCCTAAGATTTGAGAGGTACTTCTAAAAGTGAATGTATGAAGCTGCTTAACTGCAGTGTTCCAGTTTGCAAACCATGAGGTAAAAGAAAAAGCTCCTTGTATTGGAAGAAGCAAATGTCTTTGGGGAATGTTGTTTATACTGAGGGATTTACAGAATTATAGAAATTCAGTGAACAGCTCACATCAGAATAACTGATACCCGTGTTCTCAATTGCTTTCTCCCTCTTATGTCATCTTCCCTTGCGGTTCAAGATCTCTTATAGTTCGATGGCTGTGAATCCCAGGATAAGGGAGGTACTTATTCTCACATACTGGCAAAACACCCATCCCCACTCCCAAACATCACCTTCCCCCCAAATCCTCTTCAGACAGCATAGTTTCTATGATCAGGCAGGAAGATTCTAGGAGTAAAGCAACGTTATTTGTGAAGATTCAGCTGTGTCCTGAGCTGCCTGTTGAATGGTGCACAAGGCTATCTACCAAGAACACCTTCTTGAACATTTTTTTTCTCTCTGGCTGGAAGATATTACTGAAGAGAAAAAGTCAGGAAAGATTTTTTGGAACCTCTGCAGGAGAAAAGCAACTGTATATGGCGTGTCAGGTCTGGCACAATTTGTTGTCTAGAAATTCTTCCTTTTACTTACTTTTTTTTTTGTCTTCTAAGTATGAAATGAATTCTCTGACATCCTTCTTTTCTTGCTTTGGTACAGTGGAAGAGAAGAGGAAAGAAAGATAAGTAGTATTGAAGTGCACTAGGAAATCCAGTATCTGGGCATCATCAGTGCATTTACCTAAATGGAGTGCAGAAGCTCTTAAGCCTTTTTGAAAAGCAAGGAAACTAGCAGTAAACTAATTTTTCGTTCTGTACTGATTGATCATGTGCAAACATCTTTGAGGAGCATGCTTGTGTACTTTGTTGTATAGTTAGCAAATGGGGAAGAAGAGTATTTAGTATTTGAAGTAAGAGTTTTTGGTTGTTTTATTCCCCTATAGGATTCAAAATCATGGTAGCTTTAATTACTTAGGGGAAGATGTCTTTTGCATCCTTCTTCCCAATAGCTTCCTTGTGTTAATCACAATTGCACTCTGTATATTGAATGCAGTGCATGGAGCTCTTTCAGAAGTTAAAACTGAAAGCAGCCATTTTGTCAGTGTTGGCAGTTACTTCCCTCCAACTGCCTTTCCTAATTTTCCTTCTCAGCAGAAGGAGAATATTGTTTGCAAATAGATTAGGTGAAGAAAAATTAACGGAGAGAAGAATGGATTCCTACGTAGATACTGGATTTAAACATGGAACAGTAATGCAGTGTCCTTTCTCTGTTGTTGCAAAAACCTTAGAGGTGGTATGTGAAGGATGGAGATGCTCAACTCTTGTAATAGAGGTTCTTAAGTCCTTCAAAGAGCTCATTCTTTTGTGGCTGAACATTCCCATTAAGTCAGTATTTTCACTCCGTAATCTGTTTTGAGGTCTATGCCTTGATGGACCTAACAAAAAATAGAGTCGTCATGGATCTCCTTAAACCTGATGAGGATCTCAAGGCTGAGAACTCTTGTATTAGACCTTCCATAAACGAAATTAAAACCCACACAAGGCCTTTTTCCTAGTGAGATTTCAAATGAGACCCAGAGGCAAACCCATTTTTTTCCTGAAGTCCTTGAGAACTGATTCCAGTGCAGTCTTTAGAATCCAGCAATTAGAAATCCGAACAGAATTTAATTCTGGCTAGGGTTTGTTTTTTTAAGTGAGCTGCTCTGAAGCTCAGAATTATGAGCAGGAAGCACACAGTCACTTGCAGTTCAAGCTCTGCTCTTCTCAAAACATGCCCCACCAATAAATCCAATCATTATTGCCTTGTAGAGAATCTCACAAACAATGCTCTTGGCTGCCTGATCCACCCACACTAAGTGAAAGAATATGTACATTTTAATTGTCAGATTATTTCAGTGTTGCACAGATGCTTTTTCACAGTAAATATTTTTACTAACCAATGACGTCCATGTTCAATACTTGATGTTTGTTCCCAGCCAAATGCCTGTAATGAGTGTCTGTGTCACAGCTTAGTAGTATATTTCTCACCAGTGTCCTCTAAGTAAGGTTCCATTGGGGGTGGGATATTCTTTCTACAGTTATTCCTTGTCTAACAGTTTCATCTAGGTGTAATTTCTGCTAGGTGAAGTTTTTGAGTTGAAATTATATAGTTCCCTTGAATTTTTAAATGCGGCTGGGTAGAAAGGCTTCATGTCGCTCTGTTTCTGAAATCATTTCTGCTCCCTGGGTTTAATTGCAATTTTTATAAACTTGCTTAAAGTGACATATCTTTGTAAATGTTTTAAGAGCAGTGTGGGAACAGTGTCTCTCCCTTTGTCAATTTGCATTCAGAAGCTCCCGAGCGCATGCAGTAAAGCTGCTCTGCACAGGCAGAGGCGTTTGGGTGTGGACTCAAGGCAGGATTTTGTGCTTAGCTGCATTCAGCAGTGGCTGTTGTGCTGTTGGCTCCTGAACTGTTTCTGGACAGCTTGCAGAAGCACTTCTTGGGGCTGTAGGGGCTGCAGAGCTGGCGTGCATCCTGGCCAGCCTTACTCAATGGTCTGCAAAAGGGGACAGAGCTCAAGAGGAGCTGGCAGGGAGCCAGGCTGTATGGCTTCTCTTCTGGAGTGGGCCCTGAAAGATTTTGCAGCTGTGGCTCAAATTAGAACAGACGTCTTGCTGCTTCAATTTGTGCTGGCTGGCATCATGGCTGTAGCCAGCACCCAGGTGCCTACTGCTTTGTCCTTCAGGGAACTGAGAAACCACCACCCTGTTCAGTCAGTATAGGATTTCGAAAAGCAGTGGCACTGGACAGGGTATACTCTGTATAAACTTGGCCCTTCCATTTTGATTTTGCCTGGTGGGATAGCAAAGGTTGGAGGTGTCTTTCAGCTGCACGTGAACTGGCAGATGGGGTGGCACGTAGTCCTACGGTGCTGCTTGGGTTTTTGGTCTACAAACACATGTGGGTTGGAGTAGAGGCACAAAGGAAGATGATGTGCTGGGCTAAGACACTTCTGAACAGCAGCACACCCACTGGTGGTACTGGAAATACCAGCTTCCAGCAGTGCAAGCAGCCTTTTGTAAGGGGAGGATAAGATGCCCTGAGATACTATTTGTTCTGAACAAATAGGTGTCACGAAGGATCATTCTGAGGGATGAGAGTCATCTAGTAACAGCAGATGTGTTTCTGTCTGTAATTCAGAGCTGAAGTCTTTATTTCTGAAAGGAGTGAGGTAACAGTTTAAATTCCGGTCTTTGCTCTTAGGCAAGCATCCTTCTGGCTTTGGACAAACTGTTGAATTGTCTGAAACTGTAAAACAGCAGATATTCCATTACTTGTACTGATGGTATTTGATGGCCCACATAGGCGAGGAGCAATCTGGAGAATGTAGGGCCAAGATTCTAGACCATGCTACAGGTACCCAAGCTTTCAAGCAGGAGGCTTCACACTGTGCCACTGCAGAGCCTATGTTCTCTCTTATAGAACTCATCTTTTCCTTGGCAGAACTGCTGTACATCCCTTCTTCCCTTTCCAAGGCTCCCTTCCAAGCCAGTTTTTAGCCAAGCTTTGAATCCCTTAGCAAGAGCTGGACCTTCAGTTCTGTGGAGAAAAGAGGAGGCAGGCTGCGCCAGATCTGTACAGTGTGAGGGAGGGGAAGTGCTGATAGCCCGTGGGAGTGTGAAGCTGTCGTGTGGAGCTGGCAATTCCTTGGGATTAGAGCAGACTCCAGACCCAGTGGTGTGATTGTCAGGAGGTCTGGTGGGGAGAGTTTTTGTGGGTCAGGGTCGGGAGGAGATGGCCATGGCCTGATAGGAGTAGCCATTAGTTTGGTTCTGCAAGCTTAGTAGTGCGTTTACTGCTCTCCTGTAATGTAAAAAGTCCATGGGTATTTGACATGGTTAGGAGCAATGGGGCATGTAAGAAGAAATTATGAGAAAACTTCCCCTCGAGTTCCCAGGTGAGAGCATTAGAGGGGCTCTGAGTCATTAAAGACGAGAATTGGAAATTTCAGAGAAACTGTTTTGAGCATGATGGGGTGGGCTATGAAACTGACAGAGCTGAGCAGACCTACCCGCCAGCCTCTCAGACCTGAGCTTTCCTTATTCCCCATTCAGCTTTCTGAAATATGGCAGCTGTGAATGGCACTGCTGTAAAAAGCAGTGTTTATAGAGCACATTGAATATCAGAAGGGCTGTGTGACTGCTTGGCTTCATAAACACCATTCGAGCATTCATGAATGGTAACCTAACACCAGGAAGATTTCTATGGGCTTTCTTTTCATGCTATTCAGACCACCCACTGAGCAATGTAGTGCTCTGCAACTGCCTGCTTCACCCTTTGCGTGGTGGGATCCCAGTTGTATTCTTTTATGTACTAGAAAAGACAGAAAACGGTCTACAGAACAGATTATTTTAGCTCTCTGAATATAGTTGGCCTAAAATGTAATGTACTGTAGGATAAGCTCTTTATGATCTCTTCTGGCTTACTAGAAGATGACTGCGTACAGGGGAAACTGTGTCAGAGTTCCTGTGAGTTGCAAGGGCAGCGTTAAAATTACCAGCATGTTCACAGCTTTTTGTGTAGTGCACAGACCGCGCTGGTTCTCTGGTGTATTTCTTCTGAATGTGGGAGGTGTGTGTGTGCTCATATGTGCACGTGTGTGTCTGTCTGTGCAGGTGAGAATAAAGTTGCTAGCTTTTTGCCCATGTGATTGTTTTTAACCTCATATCACTGTTTTGTATGTTTCACTGAAATATATTGTGTGGACTCCATGACAACATTGTCTAATCAGCCTTTTTTTATTTCTTCCTCCTCTCTCCCCTCCTCCTCCTCCAGTCAGCATATGCTGTATCAGTGCTCAAAGAGTGTGCTAAACTGCGACCAACAGATCCCACCGTTCCTCTTCTGGCTGCCAAGGTCTGCATTGGGTCACTGCACTGGGTAAGCAAGCTGATGCAATTGTCATTGTGCAATGTGTCTAATGCTGCAGTCACAGTACCATTGTGTAGTTGGAGTGCTGAGAATGGAAATCCATGTTAAAAATCATACACATAGGCACACGTTTTGAAGAAAAGAAAAATATTACTAATAAATATTGCAGTAAGACACAGGAATGGGTTTTGCTGGCTTTTGATCAAAAGGATGGGATAAATCCATAATGGCTATTCTTGAGACTGCCTCTTCAAATGAGTATCCAGAGCTGGATCTGCCACGCCGCTAGCCCCTGGAAGACAAAAGTTAATAAGTGAGTCTGACCCTTGAACTCCTAGATAGCTGAGGTCTGCTGTATGATTCAATCCTTTGTTCTTAAAGTTCCCGTGTCAGTGTTTTCTGTTCTGGATGTGTTAATGTATGCTCCAGAAGCAGAGTGGGAGTTGAAGTCTGTGCCTGTGAAATTCTCATTATCCCAAGGAGCTGAAACATCTGTCAGTCCTATACTGTTTGGTTTTATTAATTGAATTGCAGCCTGCTGTTTTCACCTGTCCTCACCACGAGGTGTCCCTGCAGTCAGTGAAGGATTATAATTGCTAACACAAGTAAAAGATACAAGAAAAAAAAAAGCATGAAAGAAAATACCAGAAGAATCTGCTCAGATTTTGGTGACAAAATATTCTTCCTCCTGCTGCAATCCTCAGCATCTCTGTATGGTAAAAATTGGTATAAAGATGAATTTGACTGAATGCTATCAATTTACATGACTGTCAATGAGAAGACTTGGTTATGTATGTATTTGAATCAACTGTAATTGTTGAACTTGTACGTGAGTCAGCAGAAACTGGGAAGCATTGTGTTCTAGGAGAAAAATCCGTCAGGTCTGAGGGTTATGGGGGAATCCTTGCTGACCTACATGACTTATAGAGCAATTTAGCTCTCTTGTAACCTTAGCTCAGTATGTAAGTTTTGACGGCTGAAAGCTGTTGTGCAGCTTAAAATAATACAGTAAATATATTTAAATAAAGCCAGTACTTTTTTCTGATTCTTAGAGATTTTAAAACTATAAGCGAGTCAGACATTACAGCTGTATTGAAGACTTATTAGCATCTCTGCTGATGGTTTCAAAAGCAACATCAATTTAGTATTAGTCTAAAACATAATGCTGAGGTTTTTTCTCTGTGTAGGCTCTGAAGTTAGAGTTGCTTCATGGGTTGAATTCCTATATTCATCTGGAGTGATAGTGGGGGACTTGGAGTCTAAGAGCTTACCCTATCAATTCTACTGCCTCAATGATTGCCAGGAGGAGGGGGAAAAAAAAAAAGCTGGCAGGAACAATCAAATTTAAGGAAAATCTTTCTGAAACCAAGCTAGGAGCCTATTTTGCCTAGGAGCCAGGACTTCAGTATGACAGGCAAACTTGAGATCTTGTTGCCCATAGTTTTTCAGCTCTTCTGACTTCCTGCTTGGTGAACAAAGTGAGGGGCACTGGAACTAATAAGGAAGGTGTTCTGTGGGACCTGATACTTATAAACAAGAACTGGTTGGGAATGCAAAGGAGAGTAGACTTGCTACTTGCTACAGTGAGCATGAAATGTTTAAGATTAGGATGCTGAGAGGAGGGAACAAAGAAGATAGCAGAATTGTCCATTCAGATGTACAGGAAGTCAAACAAGAGTGGCAGGAGCATAGAGAAGTGACCTGGGAGGAGTGTATGAAGACACTGTCCGAGTGAGCAGGGAAAAACTAGAAAAAATCTCAAAGCCCACCTGCAATTGAATCAGTCCACCATTCACATGGATGTTAATTGGCTGGAGAAATGGGCCTACAGAAATCTTACTAAGTTCCACAAAGAGAAATGCACCTGGGGAGGAATAATCACATGCTAGAGTGCCAACTAGCTGGAAAGCAGCTTTGCAGAAAAGGACTTGGGGTTCTGGTAGACAAATAGAATATGAATCATCAATGTCAACAACTTGTAAACAGAAATAGTGGCTTCAAAGAGGCTGTGGTCTCTCAATATTTGCTTGACACATGACTTCTGCCTTAATTAGACTTGGGACAAAATTCTGAGCGAGTGTATTCATCTTGTAAGACTCCATGCTAAAATCGAGATCCCTGTGATAGTCTGACATTTAACAGGAATGGTGAAGTTTTAACGAAGGCACTGTGCTAGATACTGGGTCATTGGTGTTTGTTGAGGTGAAAGGACCAGATTTCTGTAAGGTGAGAAAAGAAATGTCAGACTGCTTGTTTTTCTTATGTTACCCTGGTGTTTATGCAACTCTCAGTAGTGAGGACAAAATCTTGTATGGTACCGTTAAAGTCTGATGCCTGTGACGGATGAGGGGTTGAATGTGTAATTATTAGCCCAAATTAAAGATGCTGCTTTGCCAGTAAAATAGGCAAAGGTAAAATTGTTTTTTTTCCTTGATGCTTCTCTTCAACATCACTTTGGATCCTCTAGTGCAGCTGGCAAAGAAAGAATGCTTTGTTTTAGAGACATATAGAAAAGAAGGTGAAACTGTACCAGTCACAGCTCTGTCCTCAGTCAATCTGGTATGTCCAGAATTTCTCACACATGGCAAAAAATGTTAAAGCAACAGTCTAATCTTAAAAAAATAGAAGAAAGGAGAGAGAAGAGAACTGTTTTTGACCATTTCAAAGAAAGGGTTTTTCCCTCTAACAGTTGCTTTTTCATTGTATGGAACACTTTCCAGTGTTTTTGGATCAGAAGTGAGGTTCAATCTGAAATAATAACATTTTTTCACAAGAGCATAATTTTACTGTAGTTATTTAGAAAATAATCTTATAAACTCAAACCAAATCCAGTAATATTCCTCTCTCCTCTTCCTTTTTCTCAGTGGCCTATACTCTATTCTGACACCAAACTTTAATGATGCCATAGAATAGTTTTAATTAAGGGGAGCCAGAGAGAAATCTGAGCATCTTAGCATGATAGGTTTCTGCATTTCATAGTTAAAGGGATGCCTCTGATACTATTGGCAAACTCCACTGTCTAATAAAAACCTTCCTGCTTAGCAGAGCTGTTTTTCTAAATGTCATCCTTACAGTAATTATTTGCATTTATATTACATGGCAATCACAACAGAATTGAATCAGTTAAACTGGAAGTGAACAAATTGATCAATGCCAGTATAAATAGAAAGGAGGATAGACAGGGCACTGGAACAATCTAATGGACAAATATCAACAGTAGCAAATATTCAGATGCATCTTGCTTTTCAAAACATACAGAATGAATAATTTCTCAGTTAGGAGGTTTATCTGTGTACTTCATTGCTAGTTAGGCAGGAAAAGGGCAAAACCAGATCACTGTTCGTACAAACAAAACATGCTGTTTGTATGTCCTACATCTGTCTATTGTGTGCTTTTGGTGTGATGTATTCAGTTCATTTATAGTCTGTGGACTAGTTTAGTCTTACTTCAGTTACTAGCAAAAAAAAAAAAAAAAAAAAAAAAAAGGACAATTTATTCTGTCAGATAAATACAAAATAGAACAGTCTCCTTCCTAATTAATGTAATGGTCATTTTAACTTGTTTTGCTGACTTTTTACATGGAATCTCCATACACTCTGAAGAACAAAAACCCAACCTAAATAAACTAATTGATACCATTCTGATTTGGAACAGTGAGGATACCCAGATCATGGAAAAAATATCACAGAGCAAAACAAAGTACAAAATGTATGCATTTGTACTGTGCCATGCAAATCAATGTATACCAGATGTGGAAAAGATCTGGATGCAGTCAGCTTCTGTTGTGACATTATGACTGGTTTATTAGCTGATGTAAATTGGCACTACTCCACTGCCATATTTCTAGCACCATGCTGGCTTACATCAGCTCATTATCTGCCCCTCAACCACTAGCTTTCAGAATTTGGCCTGCTTTAAACATCTCAATGAAGTAAGGAATGTTTCCATTTTCAGAATTATAGATTTTCACAAATTAAAGGAAAAAAAAAAACACCGGAGAGTGAACAGCAGATTAGTCCTTCAGTTGTTCTAAAGCTTACACCAAATGCCTTGGAGGACCACTTCAAAATACTGCACCTATACGGATCACACTTGTCTGGCCAAGATGCAGTTTGACCTGTACTTAATAAAGCTGATAGCATGCAAATTTTTTAACAAAGTTGGAACTCTTATACTGTATTTATCCCATTACCCTGGTGTGTTTTAAAAGACTTTTTGTGGTGAACTCAAAATTGCTTTTGAGGTGCCATGCTGCCTGGCATTCCAGTTTGCCAAGATTTCAGCAGAACGGTCTGATGAACTTAAATGTGAACAATTGTATCAAGGGAACACAAAGGCTATTTGTGTTTAACCAGCTGTCTTCTGGCTTTCCAAAAATTACTATGAAGTTTTGGACTACTGAAGTTCAGAGTGTTATTTTAGATTTTCTTAAAAGTCCATGTAGCTTGGAGTGGAGTGTCCATACTGGGGTTGTCCTGTCTTGATCTGCTGTCAATTCAGAGTGCCACTTTGTAAAAGACTTGCTGCAGTTTTCTCCTTCACTTAGCACTCCTTCTCAGCTATACTGGTGGAGATTTTGAGCTACAACATGAGTTGTTGTTTTTAGTAACTTTATATTAAGGTGCTGGTAGTTTCACTACTCATCTAGGTTCCACAAGACAGTTGTGACAGGTGTTGTAAGAATATTAAAAACTGAACACAAGGTGTCAAATACTTACTTTATCAATTTTATAAGTATTATTTAAAGGCATCGATAGTTACTAAGATGCTTTCAATGGAGATGCATTCAGAATTTGATAAATACCCATGGAGATGAATTGTGATTCTAGGATAGCTTGAATCTTCTATGACAGTGGTCTAACAGAGAGTAGGAGGGCATGAGACATGCTCTCACTGTTTTCAGCGACCCACAGTTGACACCACAGAAATAGTACTTTGGAGTTAAATGTGGGTAATACCACACAATGCCACTGTTATCAGCTAGCACAAAGTTTTGGAGAGACTTCACC